TGAGATTCTTCTGTTTTATGCATCCAAGAATCATGTTAGCCCTTTTGACCACTACGTTGCACTGGGAGCTCATGTTCAGCTGATTATCACCACTACCCCCAAAACTTTTTTTTAGAGTCACTGCTTCCCAGGATAGAGTCCCCCATCCTGCAAGTATGGCCTACATTCTTTGTTCCTAGATGTATACATTTAAATTTAACCATATTAAAATGCACACTGTTTACCAAGCAATCCAGATCACTGTGTCAGTGATCTGTCCTCATCACTATTTACCACTCCCCCAATTTTTGTCATCTGCAAACATTTTCAGTGATGATTTTACGTTTTCTTCTAGGTCATTGATAAAAATGTTAAATAAAATAGTGCCAAGATTCAGTCCCTGCAGGACTCTGCTGGAAACACACCTGTTAGATGATGATTCCCTGTTTACAGTTACATTTGGAGACCTATCAGTTAACCAGTTTTTAATCCATTTAATGTGTGCCATGTTAATTTTACGTTCTAGTTCATCAAAATGTCATGCAGTACAAAGTCAAATGCCTTACAGAAGTTGTTTCCATGAACGCTGTTACCTTTATCAACCAAATTTATAATCTCGGCAAAAAAAATCAAGTTAGTTTGACAGGATTTGTTTTCCATAAACTGAGGTTGATTGGCATTTAATTATACTACCTTCCTTTAATTCCTTATTAATCTAATCCCATTATCAGCTGCTCCGTTATGTTGTCTGGGAACAATGTCAGACTGACAGACATGTAATTACTCAAGCTATCCAATTTACCCTTTTAAAAAAATTGGCACATTAGCTTTCTTCGTCTTCTGGAACTTCCCTAGATTTCTGAGACTTATTGAAAATCAACATTAATGGTTCAGTGAGCTCCTCAGACAACTCCTTCAAAACTCTTGGATACAAATTATCTGTGCCTGCTGATTTAAAAATGTTTAACTTTAGTAGCTATTTAACATCCTCCTGAGATTCTAGTGGAATGGAAAGAGCGTTATCAAATGGTATGACTACCTCCTCTGATTTTTTTTTCCCTCTCAAAACCCCACATTTGACATGGGAGCAGGTCTGGTACCCCAACCTACTTTTAACTCATTGAAATTGACTAGAAATGCCTTTAAACAAAGCAGCATAGGGAAATCTGTACCTTTATGCTTTCTCTCTTAAAATGAGCATCAGAGTAACACTGTGACACACTGGTAACTGTAGGAAAACTGCTTTGATTAGGGATGTATGTGAACAAATCTCCTGATAGCAGTGTGTATGGTGTTTAGCTTTGGAAAATTCTGAATGCAAAGAGTTAAATCTGGATATTATGGTGCTCTGTCTTCAAGTCAGTAGTTTAGCATTGACAAAGTCCTACTTCTGCATGTGTCAAGGTTCCTTCCCCACTCTGAACTCTAGGGTACAGATGTGGGGACTTGCATGAAAACCTCCTAAGCTTACTTTTACCAGCTTAGGTTAAAATTTCCAAGGTACAAACTATTTTACCCTTTGCCCTTGGACTTTTGCTGCCACCACCAAACGTTTAGCTGGGTTACTGAGAGAGAGTTGTTTGGAAACGTGTTCCCCCAAAATCTTCCCAACCCTTGCACCCCACTTCCTGGGAAAGGTTTGGTAAAAATCCTCACCAATTTGCATAGGTGACCACAGACCCAAACCCTTGGATCTTAAGAACAATGAAAACTCATTCAGTTTCTGAAAAGAAGAATTTTAATAGAAGTAAAAAGAATCACCTCTGTAAAATCAGGATGGTAAATACCTTACAGGGTAATTAGATTCAAAACATAGAGAATCCCTCTAGGCAAAACTTTAAGTTACAGAAAGACACAGACAGGAATATCCATTCCTTTCAGCACAGCATATTTCCTCAGCCATTTAAAGAAATCATAATCTAACGCATATCTAGCTAGATTACTTACTAAGTTCTAAGACTCCATTCCTTTTCTGTTCCCGGCAAAAGCATCACACAGACAGAGAGCCTTTGTTCCCCCGCCCCCCCCTCCAGCTTTTGAAAGTATATTGTCTCCTCATTGGTCATTTTGGTCAGGTGCCAGCAAGGTTATCCTAGCTTCTTAACCCTTTACAGGTGAAAGGGTTTTTCCTCTGGCCAGGAGGGATTTTAAAGGTGTTTACCCTTCCCTTTATATTTATGACAGCATATCTGAGTCAACTGTTTAAAAAGAAGAAAATCGCCTTGACCTTGGTATAATAGGATTCTTATACCCTCTTGTGTTTAAAATCAGCATGTGCAGTGATTATCATAATTAGCATCATCATGGCAACTGCTGTGTATTTCATATATATGTGTGTGGGAGGCAGGGGGGAGAATGCAAGACATTAACATAGGTAACAGTGTCATCTTGAGATACAGCTAACATATATTGAGGACTAGAAGAGATGTGCAGAAGAGATGAAGTCTTCCTATAAAACATGTCTAACGACCCATAGCTACCTAAAACTATGACTTGGAGCAGATAAATGCTGCCTTTATGCTTGCAAGAACTAGTTTGAATGCATGCTAAATAGATAAGTGGCACTCTCTCTGTGGGCTGGCTAGAGAAAAGGTTTCTCTAGAAAAGCAATTTTTCTTGCCACTGACTGTGTTTTCTTTCATGTTTCTTTAACACTTTTGCAGCTCTTTCTGGGGTCTAATTCTCTTTCCACCTAGCTTCCTCTTCCTGCTTGATTCTTCAGTGAAGTCTTGCTCCTGTGCTCCTAGGCATTGCTGTGAAGGCACTCTTTTTGTCCTAAACACAGATACTTGAGATTAATGTGTTATGCCCATACAGAACGACTCTTTCAACTACAGGAGCAAGCCATTGGCTCCCCAGCATGCATCTTCGCTAATTAGTAAGAAGCGGGGCCCTTTAGTACCAGGAGAGAACTGCAGGTCTTTGTATGCAAATAGTTTAATTTGTTTCACATACTGCTTAACCTCAGTTTACTGTTTATATTAACAGGGCACAGGGGCAAGCTGAGCAATACAATCACATTGAATGCTTCCTGTTGCTCTGCAATGTTTTCAAAATAGTTCAAATGTGTAATGTTGAGCTTCTGGAGGAAGGTTAGCTTGCAGTGCTTGTGTATGACTATCATGTACAGAATCGTAAACCGTCGGTACGGGTGATGGAAAAGCCTTCTTGGTTACGCAGTTTTATCTTCGTGTCAATGCAGGAGTAGCCGAGATGGCAGGCTTTCCTTTTTCCTTTGGAGACTATTCTAAAGCCCAACATGGCTCACTTATCCTGTTGTTCAGCCTAAATTTTCCTAGTCTTATCCCATTATTCTTATGTCTTGTCTTTATGGGGAAATTGACCAGAATAGTTCCCCAAGTGGACGTTCTATTTTAGAATAAATCACTTTATTCTGGAATAATTAGTGCACTATCTGAGTACACTAATTATTCCAAAATAGGGTCCACATGGGGAGCTATTCTGCAATAGTTAATTCTGGTCAATTTCCCTGTGCAGACAAGCCCTTAGTTATAGCCATGTGCCTCACAGTAACTAGCTTCTTTCCATCCAGGATGTTTACAACTTTCAAATAGGTATAAACTGTAAATCCTGTGGCTTCTGCTCCCCCATCCCTTAGCTGTCACTTAGCCAAATGTCAGTCTCGTCCCTCCAGCTCCCTGATCATTTTTTGTTGCTGTTCTCTGAATTCCTCCATTTCTCAATATCTTTCTGGCAAACAGATGACAGAACTGAACACAATATTCTAGGTACCATGTAGAGAGAGAGGGGCTCTGACAGGATGCCTCTGCATATGTAGCTTCTGCGTTGTGTTGGCATTTCTTGCTGTCTAGTTATATTGCAACTCTTGTCCAGCTTGCTGTCTCCTGTCCCCTGCAGGTCTCGGTATTACTGCTTTTCAGGTTTCTTTCTCCCATTAAGTATGTTCGATTTTTTTCCCCAGATGTATTGGCTTCACTTGATTATTCTCTGCCCACTTTTCCAACCTCTTGTAGGTCCCTGTTGTATCCTCACTGGGTCTACAGCATCTACCAATTTAGTATCTGTTAATTAAATTAACATGCTATTTTCTCCCTTCTCCAGCTTGCTAATGAAAGTACACTGGACCCTTGCTAAACGTGGGATTTGGGATCCATGCATGGTACTGCGTTAATGCGGGGACCGCATTAAAATGAATTCCAATTAAAGTAATTAAATTTGGGATCCATGGCCGCGACCGCGTTATATGCGAATTTCGCGCTATATAGACACGCGTTCTAGCGAGGGTCCGGTGTATTTAATAAGATGTGATCTTCCCTGGATCCCTATGATACTTTGCCAGACACCACCTCCCCTGACTTGATACTGATCAGTTTATGGTTGCCCTTTATTTATGGTGTTGCAAGCCAACTATCAGTTCACATAAGCATCCATATCCAAGCTGATCTGAATGAACACTGAATATGGTTTTTGCTAGACACTTGCTGACTCCATTTTCTGTCTAACTGGGCATTTTCAAATCTTCCCGTTGTTCTGGGTATACGGCCGAATTTCATTGCATCTATTGCGTTCCCTTCAACCACTGAACTCATAATTCTAGTTAAAAATAATCAACAATCTAGTTCTGTCTTTCGAGATCCTTGCCTTATTGCCTTGTTTAGTTAAGATGTTATGAAAATTCTTCCTCTGACTTGAAGTGTTTTCCCCAAGAGGCCTTCCAGACTTATTCAACTCAGTCAAAATGACTTATCCTTGTCATTCTCTCATTTCTTACAGTGTCAGACAAGACTGGGATGTTCTCTGTGGCAGTCTTCTTCCCCTGAAGCACTGCCAGTTTGAGGTGCTCCCCACGTGTCCTGCTGTAGCACTTGGGAATGTTGCATATAACAAGGGCATTCCTCACTATTTTGTTCTGCTCTCAGCATCTGGTCATGTAACTCACCAGGAGAAAGCATTTAGGAATCATAAAACTCTCCTCTAAGATTACGTGAAGGTTACTGAGTGGTGCTGCTCCTCATTCAGTTCTTTGTGTTGCATTTCAGAATGAACTGGACAAGGTGAAAGCACAGCTCTCTGGGAAAGGTGAGTTCAGAAAGGAAACAGAAGAGCACTCTGCCCAGCAGTAAGGGTGCGGAGAGAAGGAACATGAGATTGGCAGGCTACTGTTTTGTTTTGTGCAGAGGCTTTCAGATCAGTTTGCAGCAGAAAAGTTGAGGCATTTGTATATGAGGGTGCTCTCTGAGCCTACAGTACAAATGGGGTCTGCCTCTATGAAACTGGTCGGACAGAGCAAACTGGGGATCATGAGTCTTAAGCTTGCTGGGCCAGTAAGTAGAATAGAGGGACCTGTAGACTTTGTTCAACGCTAGGGCTCTTGTGTGATACAGCTGTGCTATAATTATGTCCCTTGCAAGATTGCCCTAGCTGACATACCACTGATGGCTCAGTGTAGCACTTATTCCAGGTGGGAATTGGTGTCAAGCAAAGATTGTTTCATTGAGTTAGACCTGTTTGTTAGGAGACCCACAGCTGCCAGATGTCAGTAGCTCATTTCTTCAAGTGTAAAATGGCAGAAGAGGGTATATAATTGGGGCCCAAACAGAAATGGGAGAACTTTGGGACTTATTCAGCTGCTGCGATGCTGCATCCCCAAAAGAGCAGGCACAATTTGATGTGTGCATTTCCATTTTCTCATTGCTTTAAAGAGCTCGGGCTCTTTAATTTTAGAGTCTGTTTGATGGAGGCAGGAAAGCAAAAACCCTGGGGATGGTGTCAGTGTGTTTTAAGCATTGTCTGTAGGCAGCCTGTCATCAGAACATGAGTCATGAGCAGTCAAAGGAAAATGTCAGTCAGTCTGAGTGACAGAAATCCTGAGGCATGAGTTTGCAATAAGAAAAAAAAAACAAAAAAACAAACCCTTTAAAGGGAGCTTAGAGTGGGGAGTTTCAGCCATTTCCGCTGTCCTGTTGGGTCCTCTGCCCTCTCACACATGCAAGGCAGAAATAGCTGACTAGATCTATTTATTAGCCTGAAAAGAGTTAGAAAATCTCTCAGATGCCTATACCAAGGCCCCTCCTTGCAAGCAGTCCAGAGCGGTGACATAGTGAGTACCTTCTGGGGAAGAGTGCTGGGACTCCTATCAGAATGCTCTCCGAAGGAATTGCTTTGCAGATTTGCTTTTTTATGTTAGCTAGGAGGTGCTGGACTTGAAGGTCTCCCTGATGGGAAGGAGGAGCTTTCTTCTGTCCTGTGTCCTGACTGCATATAGGCTATAACTACTGCCCTGTGAGCCTCAGGGACTCTGTCCCCACTGCCTCCATCTTCGATTCCTCCTTTTTCAAGAATCTGCCTTCGCTTGTTGCTTTCCCCAGCAGCAGAATGAAGATAGCCTTGTCAGTTTCACAGCGGCCACAGGGGGTTCTAAAGAGCAGATGTGTACCTGAGAAGAGTGTTGTACACACCTGAGACCAGCAGCTGAGGTGCTGGATCTGTCTGCAGAGCCCAAGAGGCATTGCTGCACTCTGGTCACATTGGAACATTTTCTTCCCGTCACAAATACCAGAAATGAAACATCTGTTGGCCCTGAAAGCTTCAGCCTTGCAGAGCTTGCCTCCTGCCACCACACCAGGGGAAGTCCTGCCTGAAAGTTTGTGCAGTGGGATGCCTCTCCAATAATGGTCAGCTACTACCAGAGAGCTGATGGAAACCGGGAGGATGAGCGGATTTAAACAGTGCTTAAAAATAGTGCTGCTTTGCTGTCCATGACTTGCTGTAGTAGCACTGCAAGAGGTGGGGACCACTGCCTTATGCTGCTGCAAAACAGGAGCTTTCCAGTGATGTAAAATGTTCTCTGCTGCCTCTGTCAGCTTATGATACTGGTCAGTCTGACCACCAGCTGGCTTTCCTGCCGCCCTCTGGAACATGCTTCAGTTCCAGCAGGATCTGCGCACCCGTGTATCCCACGTGGCTGAAGGCAGGCACAAATACACCTTCCAGGCCAAAAGGCTTTATTGCTGGCAGCCAAGGCGTTGGAATTGAGGATATTAGTGTGGGGGAGGGGCGATCAGAACAACAGGATTTTAAAGCCTTGTGATATGCAAGGACTGGAAATGTTCCAGAGTGATAAATCTGCCTTAATCAAGTACCACGTGGCCTTTAAGAGCCCCAGTGCATTCTGCAGAGCTGTGCTTTAATCCTGCTTCGCTTGTGTGTTTGTGATCTCGCACCCAGAGAAACAGACTGTGGTGAGGGTGAGTGACAGCAGCATAACTGCACAGCCGCGTAATTGCTCTGCATGTAGGCACTGTGTTCCTGTGCACAGCAGCGGCTGTCAAGCCTATCTAAGCATGTACCCCGCACACATTGACTTCTCGCTGGGAGAGCAGCATCAAGGCAGCTCACTAGAGCTTTGTAGTTCTATAAATGTTTCATTCAGTCTGCAAGGATGCTGGCTCTTTGCACCCAAGCTTGACTTTGGGAGCAGCTGGGGGATAGCGCATGATAGTTAGCTCAGTCCACATTAACTGGGCAAGCTAGGACAGTGCTGAAAAGCCATTGAGGGGCATTTCTCTTGACTGGTAAAGAAATGTTTGAAGTCTACTGATGCTGGGTGCAGGGATTGCTTAGCACAGGTCCTGTCTGACACATTGCATTTGGCAGGGAGGGGGTCTGATGGGAAATGACTAAGTCTCGGAGAGTTTCTCAATCTGAATTTACGTATCCTGTCTGTCACTCTGGCTGCATATCTGCCCTTAGACCCATGGGTCTCAGGGCTGCCCAGGGCAAGGCATTCCAAGTGCTATGTGAGCATTTCCTTTCAGAGAAGGAGAAGCGAGACTGCCAGTCTATAATAGACACACTGAGGGAGACTGTGGATGTTCACAACGCCACCATCGAGTCACTCCAGAAAGCCCTGTGTGAGACGGAGATGCTGTGTTCCACTCTCAAGGTACCTTTCTCCATGGGCAGCATACATCTGATCTACCCCCTATGTGGCTAGGGTTACAGTCTCACTGGCTCTTCCTCTGCGTCATGCTATCCTCATGCCTGTGCAGAGAGGACAGGTGGCTCTGCGCTCGGAAGTCTAAGTTCTGTTCCTGGCTCTGAAACCGGCTCCCTGTGACATGTGTGGGCCCCATCTCTCGAGATGTGAAGTGGAAGGAGAGCAGTGGGGCTGTGTTCCCATTTAAGACAATCCTTTAACCTTGTCTGAACTCCTTGAGGAGGTGGTGTTATAGAAGATCCAAGGGGGCAAAGGGTTAACGTTCTCTAGGGCAGCAGTACTGTTTTAAGGCAATGTCTTTCAGTTCTAACTACACAGCACCCTGGGACAGTAATCTCCTGAGGTACCTCCCTTGGACCCAGGCACCTTGGAAGAGGTGAGAGATTGGGGAAACAATACACTTATTGGATGAATCTAAAGCAGTTGGAGTACTTGACATGTTAAAATATTGGGTCTTCTCTGTGCTTAGCCTAGGTGATTTGTGGCCGGGGTGGGTTGTTAGAATCCTGCTTAAAAATGACATTCCACTCAAGGCCAGGGAATGAAAGGCAAAAGTGCATGCTGACGTGTTCAGCCTGCGATGAGCTGGGTCTGGCTTGTTGATGCAGTGTCAGTATTGATCTTCCATCGCATCAGTGTGAATGCCCTCTTAGGAAGAGAGACTCCAGCTTCTGTTAAGGACTGACACTAGTGCCCTGCATTAAATCTTTCTGTAGGCCTGGTGGGGTTCAGTGTGAATTGGTTAATGTTAATCAATGATTTCCTTCTCCACCCATGCAAGTTAATTGAAATGTACAGAGAGAAAGTTACAAGTTTAGGCTGGGTTGGACCAACCCTTGTGCTGCTGCCAAACCTGTTCTGTAGTCAAGCCACTAACAGGAAATAATCTCTGTGTGTGTGTGTGTGTGTGTATATGTATATAGTCATAACTCATGAGTGAATAATAGCTAGGACAGGCTTAAGTGGGATGGCCATTTCCCTGTGATGCCCCCCAGGGAAACTGATCTAACTTAATCATAATGATTGGTCTTTGCTGCTGCTTAATTGAGATGATAGTGCCATAAATTCCACGTTTTGGGGGTGCACTTTGCCACCGAGTAAGCTGTGCTTCACCAGCTGTGAGTGCGGAGCTGCATTCTTAATGCACCTAAGTTAAACGGAAGAAAAAAGGTGAAACTGTGAAAATCACTCTTCACCCCAAGGGTACTTTGTCCCTGACTTTTCATGTTGTTCAGTGGTTTTATAGGTCACTGGGGTATCTCAATGAACAGAATGTGTCTGTGAGGCTTATTGGCATTTCCTATTCTTGCAAACACTCCAGTTGCTGTAAAACTCTAAATCAGGGTGTGCTGTTGCAGCTGATACAAATGAGCCCTTCCCAAGATGATTTTGCTCTAAGTGATTGGGTTTGCTGCTAGGTTTGTACATACCCTCTCTCCTGGGCTTTCCCTACCCCAGATTCAAGGTGAGATTCGGAGCCTATCTTTCCTCTGACTGTAATTGCTCTCTGACACGTGAAAGCCCCTCTAGCATAATCTGGGAACGTTAGAAGAAAAGGCACCATGCTGGTTGCATCTTTTCCTCTTGAAAGTGTCTGAGATCTTACAGCAGAGTTCTGTGCACTGTTTCTCCTCAGACAGTTTAAAGCAGGGGTAGGCAACCTATGGCATGCGTGCCAAAGGCGGCACGTGAGCTGATTTCAGTGGCACTCACACCGCCCGGGTCCTGGCCTAGTAGGAGCAAATGGAATAGGGCAGTTCATGGACTGAAGTATCTGATGGCCAGCACTGAGAATTTGCCACATGTTAGGAGCTGAGTGAGTGGTGCAGCTGGGTGGGAACCTATGGGGACCTTGCTCCTGGGCTGTTAAAGATGATGAGAGCTTTGAGGAGCCTGACTGCTGAGCGGGTTGTGCAAGTATTTCAGTGCACACATGCTAGCTGTATGTCTCCATAGGAGTCCCCATGTGCCATGCTAACTACACACGTGCCTATCTCTGTCTCAGAAACAAATGAAGTACCTGGAGCAGCAGCAGGAAGATACCAAAGGTGCAAAAGAGGAGGCCCGAAGGCTGAGAAACAAACTGAAAACCATGGAGAGGTTAGATACAGGGCCTCTGCTGTGTACATATATGTGGGCTGGAGCCAGCATGCTCTTCAGTGGTCCGAGTCACTTACTTTCTTAGACGTCTTGCGCAGTAGTTCTGAATGCTACAAACACAGAGCTACTTGGGTTCAGCCTCAATTCCTGGTGCAGATGGAAATGTCAGTGCTGTTGCACTGTTGAGCTGGAGGTTTGGGAACCTCCTGCATCAGTGCTGATGTGTCTTCATTGGTCCTGACCTGTCCAAACTCATCACCACCTCTTCCCACCCCTGGCACCTCTGGGCAGTTATTTGCTTCCTAAATAATATTTGGCACTCAGCTAGAGCTTTTCATCCCTAGCACTGGGAGCTTGGCTTACAGGTGGGGTAACCAAGGCACGTTGATATTGATGTGAATTGCCCAGGGGGATCAGCACACTAGTGGCCCACGTAACGACCCAGCACTCCAACTCCTTTCCCAGCTCCACTCTTCATGGCTGTGTGGGAACCTGACAGGACGTGTCTGTTTCAGGATTGAGATGCTCCTGCAGAGCCAGCGCCCGGAAGTGGAGGAGATGATCCGTGACATGGGAATAGGGCAGGCAGCAGTGGAACAGCTTGCAGTCTACTGCATCTCACTGAAAAAGTAGGTGCTGAAAACTTGGCAGTAGACTTATTTGTTCCATCTCTTTGATATGTGTATAGGTAGAGCTCCCCCTGCAGGGTACTGGAGAAAAGTACAATGGTTTAGCTGCCGTGACTGCCTGTTTGTTACTACACTGGGCTTTGACTGACAGAATCAAGGCTACTTAGATTGGAGGCTGCCACTCAGAATACTTCCACTGATACTGTGGACAGAGGCATTACTACAGGAACAGCTTTCAGAGCTGTGTCAGTGCAGCTAGGTGTTGATTATTGGATGGCAGTTGAGTGAACAAACCATTGCCCTACTCCTGGGGATGGTGGCACAATCCCTGAATGTCTCATTCATGCGGCACATAGTACTTGATAGCAGTGCTGCTGTGGCTCCAATTGTTCAGCTCACAAGTTTTTGCCATACTTTTCTGCGCTGGCTCCAGCTCCCACACAGAGATCCTTCTGCTCACATGGTGTTAAACCACATCTTTGCCTGCTCCAATCTGATGGCAACTCGGTGATCATGATTTTATATGGCACTGCCACTCAGAATGATTGCACCTGCATTGTAATTGGTAATGAGCTTGCATAGCAAATATCCCTAAGTGCCTCTGAACTTCACTTCTTAACCAGTGCTACGTGTGCTCCTTCAGCAGGGAGGCTGCATTGTCCCCCAGGTCACAGTCCCTTTCCATTTTGCAGTCAGGGACTTTCACTTTTGCCCCTTCCAGTCACTTGAGCGCAGTCTCTATCTAAGCCTGTTCTCTTACCAGCCCAGCCCAGTGATGTGCTGGTGGTTGCCACGCTGCAGTTTAGCATTGGTTTATCCAGCGTTGGCTTCTCCCCAGTGGGGACTCTTGTATACCAGCCTTGCACCTACCAGCCGTGGAGCTGTGAATCAGGTATCTGCAGGCAGCATGTGATCACTGACTCCAGTTAAGAACTCTATCTCAAAAGCCCAGAGTGATTGTAGTTTGGGCTCTTTCCAGGGAATATGAAAATCTGAAAGAAGCTCGGAAGGCATCTAGTGAGATGACTGAGAAGCTGAAAAAGGAGCTGTCTTCTTCCAATAATAAGGTAAGGAAAGTGCAGGGAGTTGCACATCAAAAGTGTCTGGGTGATCTCTGTTCTGTAGGTGTCCAGCCATGGCCTCTGCCTTGCACTCACAGTAAGCGCTGCTTCTGTCCAGCCAGCTGTATCAGTTACTCTAGCCACTGCTTGGTAAACTGAAAAATTCTGCTGGTGCTTCCTTGTGCTTGGAGCACGTGTTTGAAGAGCCCCACTGAGTGGTCAATCTGTTATCCTAAGCTGTTAAAGAACCCAAGTAAATCTCTTTATTCTTTACAAGTCCAGTGCTTGTAACAGAACAAATGCTATAATTAACCCCTGATGGAATGTTCTGCCCTCTTGTGTATAAGGCATTTGTGCCCTGCAGCAAGCTACCATCCCTGCCCTATATAGCTCACTGTCTGAAACAGGTGCCTTTGCAAGGTGTTCTTGGGGGCTGAAGTGACATTGGTAATGTGCTGTTGAGTATCCAAGCAGCCATGGCCTTCCCAGCCCCGATGATCTGGCAGGTCCTGGCCTGGCCAGTGGCATTCCTTGATAATTTGATTGAGGTCTGTGGCTGCTGACCCAGACTGGAGGTAGGATTGAGTTGCGACTTGAAACTTGTACCTGACTGATGATGAGGCACAGTGGGGAGTGCATTGCCAAATACGAATCTCTCGGCCCTCCAATGTCAGCAGAGCAGATGTATTGTGATTTTGAGTGGCAGGGGATGAATACAGGCTGCCCTTGCCTAGGAGTAGCCAGGCAGTATAGTCACAGTACGACTGAAGTCCCATAATGTCATAGTCCAAGGTCCTAGAACAGAATTGTTTTCCTGAACTCCTGTTGGGTAGCACTAAGTTAGCCCCAGTACTAGTTGAATTAGTGAAGTTGCAGTGACTGGCATGTTTGTGTTCTAATGCTGATGCAGCAAAGCTGCTGTCCCTGTGGGAGTGGTGAGGCCACATCATCACCATCCTGCAAGGTGGCAGTCCTGATTCCCTTTGATCTGATGCCTCTCAAATCAGAGGGAGGGATAGCTCAGTGGTTTGAGCATTGGCCTGCTAAACCCAGGGTTGTGAGTTCAATTCTTGAGGGGGCCATTTAGGGATCGGGGCAAAAATTGGGGATTGGTCCTGCTTTGCGCAGGGGGTTGGGCTAGATGACCTCCTGAGGTCCCTTCCAACCCTGATATTCTAGGATTCTATGAAATCCTGTAGAAACTCAAATTATTGAACCAAAGTGCAGCTGCTGCCACCATGTGTTAAACCACAGAAAAGCTGTCACCATTGGGCCTGAAAGCTCAGGAAATCACCTGTGAAACTTCTCTGCTGGAGGCTGGGTCTGAGATAAACCACCATGGGATTCCCTCTGCAGAGGACTTGAGGGAATGAATAGGGGTGGCTTGCTTACCCAGGAGTAAGCCAGTAGTCTAGGCCAGTACTTTTCAAACTTTTTCCTTGCAACCCAGGTGAAGAAAATTGTTGATGCTCATGACTCAACATAATATCTTTTAACTAGTTTTCATAAAATCATAATATTGCAATACCTTCTGGCTTAACCCACTTTACATAACTAACACTAGACACTAGCCTTAGTAAGCCTATGGTAAGGAGTGTAGGAAGTGGCCCAGGGTAGGGCAGAGGGTGGGGTGAGGGCTCTGTCTGGGAGTGAGGGCTCTAGCATGGAGCTGGGGATGAGGAGATCAGGGTACGGGAGGGGGCTCAGGGCTGGGGCAGAGGGTTGGGATGCAGGGGTGTGAGGGCTCTGGCTGGGAGTGCGGGCTCTGGGGTGGGGCCAGGGATGAGGAGTTTGGGGTGCAGGTAGGCTGCCTGAGGGCTGGGGCCAGAGGACTCCCCGCCAGCAGCAGTTAGCTCCCCTTGGAAGGCTGTTCCAGAACTTCAGTCCTCTGAGGGTTAGAAACCTTTGTCTAATTTCAAGTCTAAACTTCCCGATGGCCAGTTTATATCCATTTGTTCTTGTGTCCACATTGGTACTGAGCTTAAATAATTCCTCTCCCTCCCTGGTATTTATCCGTCTGATATATTTATAGAGAGCAATCCTATCTCCCCTCAGCCTTCTTTTGGTTAGGCTAAACAAGCCAAGTTCTTTGAGTCTCCTTTCATAAGACAGGTTTTCCATTCCTCGGATCATCCTAGTAGCCCTTCTCTGTACCTGTTCCAGTTTGAATTAATCCTTCTTCAACATGGGAGACCAGAACTGCACACAATATTCCAGATGAGGTCTCACCAGTGCCTTGTATAACTGTACTAACACCTCCTTATCTCTACTGGAAATACCTCGCCTGATGCATCCCAAGACCGCATTAGCTTTTTTCACGGCCCTATCACGTTGGCAGCTCATAGTCATCCTGTGGTCAACCAATAATCCGAGGTCCTTCTCCTACTCTGTTACTTTCAAGCGATGCATCCCCAGCTTATAACAAAAATTATTAATTCCTAAATGCATCACCTTGCACTTTTCATTATTAAATTTCATCCTGTTACTATTACTCCAGTTTACAAGGTCATCCAGATCTTCTGTATGATGTCACAGTCCTTCTCTGTATTGGCAATACCTCCCAGCTTTGTATCATCCACAAACTTTATTAGCGCACGCCCACTTTTTGTGCCAAGGTCAGTAATAAAAAGATTAAATAAGATTCATCCCAAAACTGATCCCTGAGGAACTTCACTAGTAACCTCCCTCCAGCCTGACAGTTCACTTTTCAGTAGGACCAGTTGTAATCTCCCCTTTAATCAGTTCCTTATCCACCTTTCAATTTTCATATTGATCCAGTTTAGCTGCTAATTTCCCATGTGGAACCGTACCAAATGCCGTACTGAAATCAAGGTAAATTAGATCCACTGTGTTTCCTTTGTCTAAAAAAATCTGTTACCTCCTCAAAGGAGGAGATCAGGTTGGTTTGGCACGATCTATCTTTTGTAAAACCGTGTTGTATTTTATCCCAATTACCATTGACCTCAGTGTCGTTAACTACTTTCTCCTTCAAAAATTTTTCCAAGACCTTGCATACTACAGATGTCAAACTAACAGGCCTGTAGTTACCCGGATCATTTTTTTTAACTTTCTTAAAAATAGGAACTATGTTAGCAATTCTCCAGTCATACGGTACAACCCCTGAGTTTACAGATTCATTAAAAAATTCTTGCTAATGGGCTTGCAATTTCATGTGCCAGTTCCTTTAATATTCTTGGATGAAGATTATCTGGGCCCCCTGATTTAGTCCCATTAAGCTGTTCAAGTTTGGCTTCTACCTCGGATGTGGTAATGTCTACCTCCATATCTTCATTCCCATTTGTCGTCCTACCATTATCCCTAAGCTCCTCATTAGCCTCATTAAAGATTGAGACACAGTATTTGGTTAGATATTGGGCCATGCCAAGGTTATCCTTAACCTCCACTCCATCCTCAGTGTTTCGCGGTCCCTTCTTCTTTCTTTTTTTTCTTATTTATGTGGCTATAAAACCTTTTACTATTGGTTTTAATTCCCTTTGCAAGGTCCAACTCTACTTGACTTTTGGCCTTTCTCACTTTATCCCCACATGTTCTGGCCTCAATAAAGGTAGCTTTCCTTGCTGATTCCTCCCATCTTCCACTCCTTGTAGGCTTTCTGCTTTTTCTTAATCACCTGTCTCAATGCTTCTCATCCAGCTTGGTCTACAACTCCTGCCTATGAATTTTTTCCCCTTTCTTGGGATGCAGGCTTCTGATAGCTTCTGCAGCTTTGACTTGAAGTAATTCCAGGCCTCCTCTGCCTTTAGATCCACAAGTTCTTCAGTCCAATCCACTTCCCTAACTAATTTCCTTAATTTTTGAAAGTTAGCCCTTTTGAAATCAATAACCCTAGTCACAGATCTTTTTGTTTATCCTTCCCTGCTGCAAGGCCCTTTAGAGCTGCTGCGGGCAACGATCTTTATAATTTAAATCAGCAGGGCCTGACATTTCGCAATCCGTACTTTGAAAAACACTGATTTAGGTGATTTAGAGCAGTGCTACTCAAAGTGGTGGTCCGTGGACCGGGACCGGTCTGCGAGCCATCGGCTGCCAGTGTGCGCACCCATTGGGAAAAAAAAATTGCTGGTCTCCCACATCAGATAGCTTGAGAAGCACTGACCTAGAGTGGCTGCCCTGCATCTCCACTATGGGGAGGTCAATTCTCAAACAGTAGGGCCTGAAAGCTGACTGGAAAAGATAGCTTGTGCTTGTTGTATACCTGATATGTGGTTGCGATCTTTGCCTAAGATTGCACTGTTGAACTGTTCTTACTCTGCAGCTGCAAAAAACATTCTTGGAGTTGGAGAAGATGAAGGAGGACTTAAAAAGCACCCAGAAGGATCTGAGTAACTCAGACAAGGAGATAATGGTGAGATCCTCCAATCCTCCAGCCTACAATAGCTGGCAGCAATCCATGGCCTACAGTTGCAGAGTCAGGACTCGTGCCAGCTCTAACTAGACACCTAGCTCATTGTCCATCCCTATTCTGTTGCCTCTGTCCTGATCCTGTTTGAGACTCTGTCTGTCCCCTGTGTTGCAGCCTGTGTGCTTTCCTGAGTATTATGGGCAGGAGGATGCAAACTCTCTCTGGCACAGGCTTCCCATTTCCTCATATGTGCTCTGTTCTTTTGTTTTGTTTTTATTTTATTGTTTTCTTTTGCTTTTTTTCCCCAGAGTTTGAAGAAGAAGATTGGAATCCTGCAGGAGACCCTGAAGGTGCCATCTGTAACCAGCGAAACGCTCAGCCGACTAGTCTTCGAAAGGTTAGATGGATACATTCCCTGGGAATCAGTGTAGTGCACATAGAGGCATACTGTGTGCTCTACAGACAAGGATAGGGATGAGATCTTGGCTCCAAAGAGCCTTCTGCTTAAATCGGAACAGAAAGCTGGGGTGTGGGATGCAACAGAAAGCAGTAGCTAGGGGTGAAGCAGGGCAGGTATTGTGGTAGCTTAACCTTTGTTAGGCAACCTTCAAGTGGCTCTGCACATTCACATTCCGTACTGCACTGCCTGTGATGCCTGGCCATGGAACCTTCTACTAGCAGGGTCATCTAGAGCTCTCCTGTGTCCTGCCCGTCCTCTGTGTCACTGACATCCTGACAGCAAGACTGGATGGGGTGGAGCGCCCTCACCACCTCACTTCCTTCCAACTCTGTGTCTGGATGGACATGAACCTGGCCTGGCTCTTTGGAGCCTGAGTCATTCTCTTTTAGAGATCTTTGCACTATAGTGAGTGTGTTTCACAAGTCTGGTGGACTCAAAGAAGCAGAGGAGGCTGGGATTTAGGAGGTGCATTTCCTGCCCAGCTGGCTTCCCAGCATCTGACGATTACATGTGGTCCCTGGGAGAAGGGTGCTCGCCTTCTGGGTGTTCGACTTGTCAGACCTTTGCTCCCAGAGCCCTCAAGGACAGGGAGACTTGTTTTTAGCGCCTCCTTGTCAAGGAAGCTCTCGATGTTAGACCCTTTGGATCCCATCACTCCTCAGATCCAGTGTCTAAGAAACCGGTTTCGGCTCCTCTCGCTTCTAGTGGCTCCCAGCGATCGAAGGTTTCCAAGAGACCTCAGACTGTCGGGGTCAGATTGGGTTCCTGCAGCTCCCTCAGTCAAGCCTCCGAAGCTATGCGTGTCCATACCGAAGACCACATGGTCAGATCCAACTGCCCCAGTTCTGGAAGAGAGTTAAAGAGACAGTTTGGCCACCCTCACTGGTGCTGTACCTGGTGCCTCGTAGATACCTGATCCCCATGGCTGCCACTCCTGCTGCAGGTCCAGGGTCAGTTCCGAATTCCACTTCCAGATTCAGGAAGATGGATTTGATTGGTGTGTCAGAATCGGGGTCATTGATGCTTTCATTTCTGTCTGTCCCATCACCGAAGGAAAAGAGGCATAGGGACAAAATGGTTACTGTGCATCAAACTTTTGGATCCATCTGATTCTCCCAAGACCACTACAGTTCCAAAGCAAAGACCTGTTCCACCCCGTAGCTTCAGTCTTCTGATAGGAAGAAGAGATCAGAGTGTGCTGCTGGTTCTTCCTGTGAACACCTTATGCTTCCTCCTCCTAGGGCCTTTATAGGGTCCCCACAAAGAACTGGATCTCCATACTCTTCTCCAGATCTGCAGTTATCCCTGGTGCATTCTATATCTGTTACAGACCTGGATCTTTACCAGGAAGGAAGTAGAGGAAGAATGCAGAGACCTGTGGCTCAGTTCATACCACCCTATAGTCCACCTCCTGCAGGCATGTTCCTGAACCCTAGTTGCTGGGGGAACTGGCTGTCCTGTGGCCCATCGCCTTATTGGGGGCTACCTCAGGAATTTTATTATCTTCTGTGTAGGCAGAGGTAATTTTTTCTTCTGCAAAGGATCTGGGAATCCAAAGGTCCTCGGATTGACACTACAGATGGTGAGGCTGGAAATGCTGTGTGAGGAGGAAGATGAAGAGGTAGCTCCCTTCTTTGAGTAGCAGCAATTGGAAACGGATTATGAACCTGATTTATCACCAGATGAACGTGGGGGTGGCTTCAGCCTCCTCTCCTGAGGATGCTACACAGTTCCACAGTTTAATGGATTGTATGGTATCTGCTGTAAATCTTCCTGCAGTGGCTGTGGAAGAGACTTCTCACCTGGTGTTTGATATCCTTGGATGCTTCTTTAAGGAGTAGACTTCAAGGAGTAGTACCTATCTTAGATGGTTTGCTACAGCCAGCTAAATCCACGTGGACCTTGCCTGCTGCTTGTCAGCCTGTTTCTAAGAAAGCTGACAAGTTATATCAGATGCCCTCCAAGGAGCGCTCCTACTTCCATACCCATCCTAACCCTAAGGGCAAGTCTACACTCCGGGGCTAAGTCAACCTAAGTTATGCAACTCCAGCTATGTGAATAACATAGCTGGAGTCAGCGTACCTTAGGTCAACTTATTGCGGTGCCTACATCATGCTGGGTTGACGGGAGAGCAATCGGCTGTCAATTTAGCAGGTCTTGATTGGACAGTTAACTACTGAAAGTTAGTGTGCATGAGGACCTATTACACCATATTGCTTTGACAACCAGTCTCCTTTCAGACCTTGGGCTCCTTCTCAACCACCCAAAGTCAATTCTATGCCCTACTTGAAGGATTCCCTGCATAAGCTCCATACCAGAGAGCCTTGCTACTGGAGGACAGATGTCTTCAGATGAGCCAGAATCTATTAAAAATTCAACAGGGTCCTACTCAGAGTAAAATTATTTTGGGGTCTCATTAGTCTTATCGCAGCTGCTACTTATGCGACTCCATTTGTGCATCTGAGAATGAGAGCTATGCAGCACTGAATGTCCCACTCTACAGACCAACTTGGGACAGACTTCATATGTGGATCTCCATGCCTCAGAACATGGTACTCGCTCTCAAATGGTGGTCAGTCAGAATGCATGTGTTCAGTGGTGGACTGGATCCATCTTTGACAGGAACTTCAGATGCATCAAACATTTGACAGTTCGAGGGTGTGGTAGAGAGAGCCTGGAACACTGAGCTTGATGCAAGATCTGAGTCCTGAACCAGAGGCTGTGAACCAAAGTCAAGCCATGTATTAAAGCAGATGGTTACAAGTTTGCTGTCCAGTACTTGAACTTGGCAAAGCTTTTGCTAGTGTACTAGGCACTAGATATTTTATATTCCAGCTAGTACAGATACATCCCAATCTAGTACAAGATAAAATGGTTTGACAAATTAATGATTAGGGATGTTTCGTCCGAAATATCAGGAACCAGGGGAGGTAACAAACGGATGTCATGAAACTCGTAAGGTGGTCTTTCTGTGTCTTCCTCTGTCTCCAGACCTACTGTCTCAGCAGGAGGACAAGATCTTTCTCCCAGACCCACCGTCTCTTCACTTGACAGCATTGCTGCTTGGACTTCACTCTTGAGCAGTCACATTCTTTGTCTGTTCAGGGCAGGCTAATTAACTGTAGAAAACAGTCCACTAGAGCTATTAGCTTTTAAAGTGGACCAGATTTTAAGCACAGAAGAAGGGAAAACCTGATTGCTCTGTATCTGCTTTCATTCCTTGTGTTCTGGAATACTTAATGTACTTAAAGTCTGGGGCTTATCTAACTCATTGTTAAAAGTCCCTTTGACAGCCATTTCTGTGTAACATACTTTAGTAGTGGATTGCTGTTTGTTCATTGTTCGGTCAAAAGGTTTATGAAAAGTATATTAAATGTATACTGTCTGTTGGCCATGCCCCTTGAACCCTGGGCTGAGTGTTCTTTCTAGCATTTATCTATCAAAAGAGCTTTTGTTATTGCCATCAAGTCAGCTAGGAAAGGAGTGAATTGAATGGCCTTGTGGCTGATCTACCTTTCACTCCTTTTCATAAGGATGAGGTAGGTCTCAGACCTGATCCCAGGTTCTTACTGAAGTGGTGTCTGATTTTCATAGGCAGTGTTATCCTAGCACCAACACTGCTACAATATTAGAGACAAATTGGGTGAGGTAATGTTTTGTAGACCTACTTTGTTGATGAGAGAGACAAGCTTTCAAGCTTATACAGAACTTGTCTTCAGGTCAGGAGAGCTCTGCATGAGCTTGTCTCTCTCACCAACAGAAGTCAGTCCAATAGATATTTTCTCACCAACATTGTGTGTCTGATTTTCCTGTCAGTCAGACAAGTAATTTGTCCTCCCCGCGCGCATGCGCCCCCCCACCCCACCCCCCCAACTGCACTCTAATAAGGGGGAATCATCCTACACACTCTGTGTGCCAGACGGGCTCTCTCCTAATATTTAGATAGAACTAAAAATTGTCATAAATCGTCTAGATTGTTTGTGCCGTATGCTAAACACCACCTGGGTTATATGGTTTCTTCCCAGCCTCTCCCTTGATTAAACATTGTATTTCTGAGTGTTACATGCTAGCAAAAGTTCCTGTACCTGCTTCAGTGTGATCACATTTCCTTCACTTGTCACAAGCAGGTGCCAGTCATTGAAATTTGCAAAGCTTCAACCTGCACTTCGGTGCACACTGTAACCATGCACTATGGTTTGGACTTGGTCTCTAGGGCAGATGCTGGATTTGATAAAGCGGTGCTTCAGTCTCTGTTCAGTTAGGACTCTGCTCCCATCTCCAGGTGAGTTTGAGCAGTGCTCCTCAGTCTGTCCCATAGGTGGCAATATGCAGAGCCACTTGAAGAAATGAACTTAACTTGTAACCGGCATCCCTTGAGATGGCTCTGCCTGCTTACCCTTCCCACCTGCCTCCCCCTCTCTGTCAGAGTCCTTGTTTGTTCTGTTTCTGGCTTTGCAGTGGAAGGAACGCAGGTGGTGAGGACTCTCTGCCCCCTTTACCGCCTTGCCCTCAGTGTGTTGGGATGGTGTGGGAGAGCCCTAGCTGACACCACTAGAAGGAGACTGTGCAGTCCCTATAAGTATGAATGTGCAGAACCATCTCAAAGAATTTTGGTTTCGTTATCTTTGTTTTTGTATCTTTCTCATCCCCTCCCGCTTATGCTAAGCTGATGGGAAGACAGGGGTTTGCGGGTATCCGGAAGCATGTGTTCAGAGAAGGACTCAGGTGTGATTTGGAAAGCTCTGAGGGAACAAAATGAAGGGGTAGGTTGAGTGAAACTCCAGTTTTGCTCCTAGCGGCTGTTGTTATAACCCAACACTAGAGAAGTGTCATTGTAACTACTCTGGATTTGTTAGGAGATTTATCAACGTGGGGATCCAAGTTAAGAACGCTGGGGTGAAAGGCTGTGCTGAATAGGAGTTCCCAACAGGCTAGCTTGCATATTAGGCTTGAACGTGATGTGATGATGCTGGAACGCACTTGAGCTTACAGTGCCTTCCAAACAATGTAACTTCCCCACCTCTGGATGGCGGATGGGGTAATCTAGATTGAGCAGCAGCATTCGAGGTGCACTCCTATAAGGAGCATGGGGTACAGTTTCCTCAAACGGGGCTCAGGCCCTCTGGGTGGCAAGGGCTTTGGGTGTAAATAATAATATTGACCCAAGTGCCTTCAATTTAGGCTTGGAAGGATTTGATTTTTATCAATAAATGTCGACGAACATCTATTTCACTGTACATACACAAACCTACACCAACATATTTCCATCAGCAGTAATGATAATTTACAGCTAGGCAAAGAAAAATGCTGTTTGAGAACTAGTGATTGATGTAAGGCTGTTGTGGATTTTGATGTGATGTTGGCCGTTTTTGTGTTTTAATGGTTACAAATCCTTAACTTTTTGAATCTCTGCATCTGTTGTCATTAAATTGTCTGACACCCCCCCACCCCAATAATTTCCTGAAATTGTGAAAATTTAAATTGAGAATTTTAAAAAGCATAAAAATAAACATTATCTATCAAAATTATAACAAAAAAAGGAATTCTGCCAAGCCTGCTGAAATTGAAGGGAAGAAGCTTACATGAAGGCGTGCAGTTCTGTGGTGCAGCAAATGTTAGATCTGTGCTGCGTCATCTGAGACCTCAATTTCTGTGTTTGTGCAATGGGGTATCCATCCTGAGCAGGGGCTGTGGTACCATGACAAGATATAAATATTTACAACCACTGCTCCTGATAGACAGCGTAACTTGGAGCATTAAAGTCTTTCTTTTGTCTGTCTGGTGGACAGTATGTAATTTGATGTTGATGGCTGACATGTCTGAAATGGCCTTGCAGCCCTGCTCCTGTGGAACTGCTGAGCCCAAAGCTCCACCGCCCGGCCCATAGCGATAAGATCGACCTGGACGCCGCCTTTGATGTTGAGACGCCTGAGCAACAGCCTCACAAATCAATCACAACCCCTGCAAAAAAACCCAAGCTGGATAAAAAGCCGTGAGTACTCCCCTTTCTCCAGCCCTAGGTGGGACCAAGGGGACTAAGCTTAAGTCCCTCTGATGCTCACGTTTCTGCTGAGCATCAGGATCTCTACCCATTTGATTCATTGCATTAAGAGACATTAATCTTTGTTTGGCCTTCCATCTATCAGTTTCTCTCCCCTGAAAACTCTCTGCTAGCAGCTGCAATCCTCTGAAGCAGTGAACCCACAGCAGATAGATATCCAACTCACTGATCTGATTTCTTACAGGCCTCCTGTGACAAACATAGCAAAAAAAGTTCTGAAGGAAACAATGGAGGTAAAGTAACCAGTTGCTGGCCTCTTAGACCCCCTGCTTTTCTCGATCTGGTAATAGACTTAAAAAATTGACCAGAATATCCCTCCACTTGGGCTGCATAACCATCATGCTCTGATCTTAGTACTGCAATACATGCTCCAGGGTGCATCGCCTAGACCACTGTTTTTCAAAGTACGGGTCCCGACATTCACGGAATGCCCGGCACTGGGTTGTCTCACTGATTCAAATCATAACTATCGTTGCCGGGCAGCAGCTCTAAAGGGGCAGCAGGGACCTGGAGAGGAAAGAGGTAGGGAGTGGGTGGGAACTGGGGAGAGGAGCAAGTTGGGGCTTGCAGGGCTGCTGCGGACCTCTCCCCCGGTCCTGGAGCTTGCTGCTGCCAGACAGGAAAGAGAGGACCCTTCCCATCGAGCTCCGTGCAGAGGGAGAGAGTGGCCTTCCCCCGGTGCTCTGTGCTGCCAGCTGGCAGGGGGAGAGATGGGCTTCTTCCCCTGGAGCTCCATGCTGCCTGCCTGCATGGGGGGAGAGAGGCCCTTCTCCCGGAGCTTGGTACTCCGTGCTGCTTGCTTGCTGCTTGCCAGCAAGAAGAGAGAGGGGCTCCTTCCCCGGAGCTCTGTGTTGCCTGCCAGCAGGGGGCGACAGAGGCCCTTCCCCTGGAGCTAGCTGCTGCCAGTGGGGAGAGGGCTGGGGGGAGTCCTCTGGCCCCAGCCCTGGGGCAGGCTGCACCCCGAACTCCTCATCCCTGGTCCCACCCCAAAGCCCACACCCCCAGCCAGAGCCCTCCCCCTCCCACCATGTCCTAACCCTCTGCCCCAGCCCTGAGCCCCCTCCTACATCCTGAACCCCTCATCCCGAGCTCCACGCTAGAGCCCTCACTCCCAGACAGAGCCCTCACCCCACCCTCTGCCCTGCGCCACCTCCCACGCTCCTTACCATAGGCTTACTAAGGCTAGTGTTAGATACGTAAAGTGGGTTAAGTGGAATGTATTGCAATATTATGATTTCATGAAAACTCTAGTTAAAAGATATAATTATGTTGGGTCATGGGCATCAACAATTTTCTTTAGCTGGATCATGAGGAAAAAAGTTTGAAAACCACTGGCCTAGCAGTGTTCAGACGAATGCTCTAACACAGCTGCCCAAGTCCAAGGGCTATTCTAGGCTTTCAGGCCATCCATTCTCAATAGTGTCTGGGAATTTCTACAGTGCACTCACCTGGCGCACACGCTATTGCTATTGCCAGTTACACCAGTGGTGTTAAACTCTGAGGATCCTGGGGGCAAACACTTTGTAGAGAGCTGGTCTTACTAGCCACATGAAACACAAACACTTGCTCCCAAGCTTTGTTCTTAATAGCAAGAAACCACAGATATTGATACTGAGTAGCTGAGAAGCTGCAGTTCCATGGTCCACCTTAAAAGGGTAAGCCATGGGGTACAGGAGCAATCATTCCTAAGTTGCCTGGTGGGGTATTCAGTGCTACCTGTTTCTGTAAATGAAATTCAGGGAGTAAAGCTGCTCATGCTGCCTTTCTTCTCTTTCCTGGGACAGAACTGGGTAGGTGAGCCAGAGGATGATCCTCTAGAAGAATTCTTTCCTGCGTTCATCAGGAACTCGGTTCTTTCCCGGAAGCCACCCATGGGCAGCCTGCTGGGGCCACACAAGAACACAGGAGCTGTGAGTATGTGCTCTGGCGGATCAGAGCAAGGATGCTGCTCCCTGCCCTCCGGTGGTGGAGGCTTGTCAAGGGTCAGTCATAGGCATTCTAGCCTCCTGAGTGATCTAAGTGGGAGTGAATGAAAACGAGACTCTTGCTTTCCCTGTGGTTTGCGGATGTGAGAAATGTGGCTAGAGACTTCCCTTTAGAGCCCTCTGTCTTCCCGCATGCACTACCAGCCACTTCCTCTGAAGCTAGTCAGATGGCCATAGCCCTTCACTGAGATCCTGTCCACCCTCATTGCTCTAGCTCTCGGCGGCTTGTGTAGCTACCCCACGTTTCCCAGTGACTGGGCTTGACTAAACGTCCTATTTTTTTTTAGAGGAGGTTCTGTCCATTGTGTGAGGTTCCATCAGAATATGGCCAAGTTCTTCAAAAGTGACTTTGGGCGGCCAACTTGGAGACCCTCAAAGGGTCCTGATCTCGAGAGGGTGGTTGCTCAGCATTTCCTGAAGCTCTGGCTTCTTTATTGTCTCGGGTTGGACACCTTAGTTGCTAGTCTGCTTTGGCCAAAGCATTCTGTACATTTTAAGGTGCCTGTAACTGTCCCTCCCTTCCAGTACTTCGCAAGCTTCCAGCTTGGGTGAAGTACCTAGCATCACCCAAGTGAAGAGGCAGACCTTGCGTGGTGTTATATCTCCTCTCTTCTCTTCTAGGTGAGAATGGGGTACGATGGCTTAGGAGGTAGAACTAAGTTCATACAGCCCGTATCCTTCCCCACTATCTGCGCTGTGGAAATAAGCAGGCAGGAAGTTCTGCTTTGCTTCCCTCTCATTTGGGGCGAGTAGCTAGGGTGAATAATGCATGGGCTTTGCTTGGGAATGGGCTGGGGACTCTTAAGGGAGAATGTGGTGGAACTTGTTTAAGCGAGCACTTTGCCCACAGAAAAGGCTGATTTTACTTAATCTGTTTTCTATGCACCAAGTTAAACTGCCCACCCAACATGGCCCAGGTGGGAGAGCAGAATATCTTACTACATGTCTGGTTAAAGACACTGTTCTGGTGTGTAGATCCACAACACAGCTCTGTTCTTCAGGCACTGGGGGAGGAGGAAGGGAGACGGATCAGCTGATGGGAACTCCTGAGGGAAACTGATCAGGATCTTGTAAATCTGGGAACTTGTGGCTCAGATACTGTGCTGCTGTGGGTCTTGTATGTACCTGGGCACAGGTCCTGGGGCTGTATTTGATCTATATGTGAATCAGGTCATTCACAAGGAATTGGGGATCTGAATCATCTGATTACTATGGAATAATTGGCAGCTCTTGGACTGTCACTTGTGTGGCCATGTTCTCTGGACAGGTCTGAGACCCTTCCACATGGTCCTGATTTAAAAGTTAGCCTAGCCCGGAGCTGGTAATAAATCGTCCTGCTCCACATTTTCAGACTTGTTTTCCCTGACAGTTTTCCCTTCAGACAAACCCAATGGAGATCCGTCCCTTAGCTGTAAAGAGCAGGAAGAGGAACGTCTCCAGGCCAGCATCCACAACTGCAGCAGCTTCCTCCTCTGGCACGAGCCAGGTGAAACTGGACAGCTTCCTTCAGTAAACCCAAAGGCTTTCCTGGTCACTTAGGCATGCTTGGGCAGAAGACTTGGGGCTCATCTATGTCTCTGCAGAACCAAGGTGCTGGGACCAACACACAGTGTCAATCAGAACTCTCCCATGTTGTTTGCTGTTGATCTAGTCGAGGCTGACTATACTGTGAGGATGGCGAGGCAGGATGTGCCATGTGCTGCCAGCTGTCCTGGGAGATGGGGCTCCTGACACTGAGCAACCTGCCTGCCTTTGTCTGACGTGCAAGGTCACTGGTTTGTGCTCAAGAGCTCAGGACTCCCAGTGGGTGGGGTGTGTGGACCCCTCAACTCTGCCTGGTTTGACTCATCTCGGCCTCACTCCTAGGCAATGCAATAAAGTGTGGGACAAAGCAGACTTAAAAATCTCCTGGCTGCTGATTTCACAGAATCATAGAATATCAGGATTGGAAGGGACCTCAGGAGGTCATCTAGTCCAACCCCCTGCTCAAAGCAGGACCAATCCCCAACTAAATCATCCCAGCCAGGGCTTTGTCAAGCCTGACGTTAAAAATACCTAAGGAAGGAGATTCCACGACCTCCCTAGGTAACGCATTCCAGTGTTTCACCACCCTCCTAGTGAAAGTCTTTCCTAATATCCAACCTAAACCTCCCCCACTGCAACTTGAGACCATTACTCCTCATTCTGTCATCAGCTACCACTGAGAACAGTCTAGATCCATCCTCTTTGGAACCCCTTTCAGGTAGTTAAAAGCAGCTATCAAATCCCCCCTCATTCTTCTCTTCCGCAGACTAAACAATCCCAGTTCCCTCAGCCTCTCCTCATAAGTCATGTGTTCCAGTCCCCTAATCGTTTTTGTTGCCGTCCGCTGGACATTTTCCAATTTTTCCACATCCGTCTTGTAGTGTGGGGCCCAAAACTGGACACAGTACTCCAGATGAGGCCTCACCAATGTCGAATAGAGGGGAACGATCACGTCCCTCGATCTGCTGGCAGTGCCCCTACTTATACATCCCAAAATGCCATTGGCCTTCTTGGCAACAAGGGCACACTGCTGACTCATATCCAGCTTCTCATCCACTGTCACCCCTAGGTCCTTTTCTGCAGAACTGCTGCCTAGCCATTTGGTCCCTAGTCTGTAGCGGTGCATGGGATTCTTCCATCCTAAGTGCAGGACTGTGCACTTGTCCTTGTTGAACCTCATCAGATTTCTTTTGGCCCAATCCTCTAATTTGTGTAGGTCCCTCTGTATCCTATCCCTACCCTCCAGCGTATCTTCCACTCCTCCCGGTTTAGTGTCGTCTGCAAACTTGCTGAGGGTGCAATCCACACCATCCTCCAGATCATTAAGGAAGATACTGAACAAAACCGGTCCGAGGACCGACCCTTGGAGCACTCCACTTGATAGCGGCTGCCAACTAGACATTGAGCCATTGATCACTACCTGTTGAGCCCGGCAATCTAGCCAGCTTTCTATCCACCTTATTGTCCATTCATCCAGCCCATGCTTCTTTAACTTACTGGCAAGAACACTGTGGGAGACAGTGTCAAAAGCTTTGCTAAAGTCAAGCAACAACATGTCCACTGCTTTCCCCTCATCCGCAGAATCAGTTATCTCGCCATAGAAGGCAATTAGATTAGTCAGGCATGACTTGCCCTTCGTGAATCCATGCTGACTGTTCCTGATCACTTTCCTCTCCTCTAAGTGCTTCAGAATTGATTCCTTGAGGACCTGTTCCATGATTTTTCCAGGGACTGAGGTGAGGCTGACTGGCCTGTATTTCCCAGGATCATCCTCCTTCCCTTTTTTAAAGATAGGCACTACATTAGCCTTTTTCCGGTCATCCAGGACCTCCCCCGATCGCCATGAGTTTTCAGAGATAATGGCCAATGGCTCTGCAATCACATCCGCCAACTCCTTTAGCACTCTCGGATGCAGCACATCTGGCCCCATGGACTTGTGCTCGTCCCGCTTTTCTAAATAGTCCCGAACCACTTCTTTCTTCAGAGGGCTGGCCTTGTTTGGGCCTGGCCTTACGTTTCCCCCAGGAGCCTCTGTTGGCACAGAATAAACAATGAATTTCCTCACCCTGCTGGCCTGTTCTGAGGCTTTGGCGTTTGTGGTGGTGACGGGTCCCTTGGGGGACAAACAACTCTAGCTTGGTTTCAGGAGCAGCGTAGACCTGAAGATGGAGGAAGGGGATCCAGTGTCTGTTAGCCTGTAGCATCCAGGGCTGCATTTCCAGGACAGGGATGGGCAATTTCCCCGTGCTGGGTGTTTCACCTCCAACTGTCCTTGCTAGTAGGGTGGCATGGCAATCCTCTCCCTAACCTAGAGTCTTTGGGCCAGAGCGTGCCTGGTGCAAACCCCCCTGAAAGGAGGGGGGGTCTGCCTCAGGCACAAATCTGGTTTTTAATCTGATAGCCAGGGGAGACACCTTGGCCAGTCACATTGACACCTCACACCCAGGCATGGCAGCTGGGGACTTAGCCTAGCCTAGCAGGAGACTCTGCTTTGGAAGGGATGAGGCCGGAATCCATGGCAGACCACCATTCTATGTTGCTGTCTTTGCCATCCCAGCAGGTATCCGGCCTGCCGATTGTCCATAGAGCAAAACTGTATGTGATTTGTTGCTATACAGTGGGCGTGCGATCGGCACTGTACTGTTGGCATGCACAGGTTTGAGGAGGAGGTGGGTCTGTAATGAGGCAGCGGGAGGTGAGGGTTAGGGGTGATCTTAGCATTTCTAGCTCAGCAGCACCCGGAGCAGGTGGCCTTTCCCAGCTCGCCACTTCTGTAGGGCTTTATTTTCCAGAATCGAGAGAACGTCATGTCTCTGTACCAGGCTCTTAAAGAGGCAGGCACCTGTGTGACTTTCGGTATTCTCTGCAAACTTTGGTTTGGAACTTACATTTTTTAATCAATTTTTGTAAATGATATGGTGAGTTTACAAATGCTTCTCTGCAACAGATCCCTCCCTACTGCTGCTTGGGTGTTAAATACAAAATACCAGCCCCATTACACTTACTGGGGAAGAAATATGATGGGGCTGCTGATTGCTAGGGGAGGGCTTTATTCCCCTTCATTGGCCTTAAGCTCAGTCTTTTGTCTCAGGTATCCAATGTGGTTCTGTTCCAGATCTTGCCCTGATTCAGTGGAGCCCTCTTTAAATGGTGCTGTTTATAACGAATTGGCCAGTGAGCATGGCTAGTTAGAGAGCTGGCTGGACAGATCCAATATTGGTACAGGCTTATCTGGAAACCAAAATGAATGGATTAAAGGCAGAGCAGTAACTCCACTGATTTCAGCATCAGCAGCGGTTTGTGTCAGCACCCAGCCCATGCAGTGTGGGCGGCCCGATTCCTGTATGTCCCTGAGAACGTGTGCCTTTATTAAATAAATGTGGTGTACACGATGGAGCCATCTGACTTGTAACCTGAGATGGCTGCTGCTGTCTCTTCTCAGTGAAGGTCTCGTTCCTTCCATTGCATTCAGGGAGCCAGGTTCCCACTGGGAAACAGAATTTGAAAGTAGCTGAGACACTCTTGCAGATTCCTCTGAGCCAGCAGGTGCAGGCCACTGATGGAGGCAGGGACCTGGATTTCGTGGGCCTCAGCTGTGAGCCAGTCCAAGTCCTGTGGGGCCTATTGAAGTATTGCAGCTGCTGTGCCCTAGTATCTTACACCCTGCTGTCTGTGGTGGTAGAGAAAGGGGAGCACCACAGTCCATAGAATACCAGCCACTGTTCCCAGTGAATGCTGAGGTGGGCATTAGCTACACTAGAGGCAGGCATGGAGAAGGGCACTGGGCAGGGCATGAGTTGTGTTGGTTGCTCCATCTCCAGAGTGTGGGCAGGCACCCTTGAGTGGAGCTGGAGCTCTGCGTGGGGGGGCTTTCCAGCATCTGCCCCTCCCACCTGCTGCTGCCAATGTGGAGTGGAGGCGATGGGTCCCTTGGCAGTGGGGTGGCACAAGAGCATTGGACTTGAATCCTGGATGGCTCCCTAATTTCCCCTCCTTCCAGCAGCTCTGATCGATGGGAGCACTGGGGCAGTGAGGGGGAGATGACCAGTGGGGAAGTTTGGCTGAAGGGAGGGAGGGAAAGGGGTCACCTAGAAATGTGAGGAGGCCTGGGGCACATGGAGGTTAAATGCTGCAGGGTATCAAGGGGTGAACAAACCAGCTCTCTTTGGAGAAGGATGGGAGCTAGTCAGGTGCTGGGTAGCTGCTCTCTCTAGTCTGGCTATGGAGGAGGGTGAGCAGCTACTGGGAGCATGGGGATGGAGCCAGGGAGCAGGTCTGGGACAGGAGTTTGGCTACAGGGCGGGGGACCTGGTGGCAGAAGGCCCGGCGCTGAAGCTTTCTAGCCGGCACTGAGGCACTCACCCCGAAGTAGAAGGCGCCTGACAACCAGACATTCCAGGAATTGAAACTCCGCACCAGCTTGGAAATGGTCCTGAGGGGAGTCAGGATGCCCAGCTCCATCCCCTTTTCCTCAGGCAGCTCCTGAGGCTGGGAAGGAGGCCCTTGGAGGCTTGATAGACCTGGCCCTCAGCTCAGCACTGAATTACAGGTAGATTAAAGCCAGGTGAGGGCAGGTTAGCTTGACCATGTGTTGGTGCTACACAACAGTGCCATATCTACGCAACATTAAGTCAAGTAGGTCGACCTACAGCCACCACAGTAATGAAATCAGTTGTTCATGTCCACACTACACTCGTTCTGTCGGTGGTGCACGTCCTCACCAGCAGCACTTGCACCGACTGAGGTGGGGCACTTTGGTTAGGTGTGCTAGAGAGGACAGATGATCCAGTGGTTTCATTAATAGCTTTTAAAGCCAAAAGGGACCATTGTTACCTACTCTGACCAGCAGAGCACAGGCCTAAGAACCTCACCCAGATTTCTCCATCAAACCCATGACATCTGTTTATGCTAGAGCAGCTCTTGGAAAGACATGCAGTCCTGACTTGGACTGGAGAATCCACCAGGCCTCTAGCTAAACTGGTTAGGATGCTAGCCTGCTAGCGGGTAGATCTGGGGTCTACCCAGCTCTACACCAGACTGCCTGTGTGGCCTTGGGCAAGTGACTTTAGTCTTTTTGTGTGTCAGCTTCCTATATGCATAATGAGACTACTTCAGCCCCCTGAGGTGTGCCAGGGCTCAAACTTCTGCTCTGTGGGGTGTGTCGAGGCTCACAGCTTCAGCCCTGCGCGTTTGAAAATATTTACCAGAGCTCGGCTCTGGCTGAATTTAAGCCCTGGCTGTGTGCATATATCTAGAAACAAAGAATGTAAGTCATATTTATATGTGGGGGACTCTATCCTGGGAAGCAGTGACTCTGAAAAGGATTTTGGGGGTGGGAGGGGGTGGATAATCAGGTGAATGGGAACTATGTGATGCTGTGGCCAAAAGAGAGAATATGATCCTGGGATGTATAAACAGATGAATCTTAAGTAGGAGTAGAGAGGTTATTTTACTGCTGTGTTTTGGCATTGGTGCAACCATTCCTGGAATCTTGTATCCAGTTCTGGTGTCTACAATTCAAGAAGAATGTTGATAGATTGAAGAGGGGTCAGCAAAGAGCATTGAGAAGCATTAAATGATTGGAAAATCTGCCTCTTAGATTGAGCTCCTTGAGTCTTTTGCTATTTAACTTAACATAGAGACAGTCAGGGTGATTTGGTTAGTCTGAGCCCCTACATAGGGAACATATAGAATATTAAGGTTGGAAGGGACCTCAGGAGGTCATCTAGTCAAAGCCCCTGCTCAAAGCAGGACCAATCTGCAACTAAATAGAATCATAGACTTTAAGGTCAGAAGGGACCATCATGATTGCCAAGTCTGACCTACTGTACAACCCAGGCCACAGAATCTCACCCACTCCTGTAATAAACCGCTAACCTATGTCTGAGCTATTGAAGTCCTCAAAACATGGTTTAAAGACTTCAAGGTGCAGAGAATCCTTCAGCAAGTGACCCGTGCCCCACGCTGCAGAGGAAGGCAAAAGACCCCCAGGTCTTCTGCCAATCTGCCCTGGAGGAAAATTCCTTCGTGACCCCAAATATGGCAATCCGCTAAACCCTGAGCATGTGGGCAAGACTCACCAGCCAGACACCCAGGAAAAAATTCTCTGTAGTAACTCAGATCCCACCCCATCTAACATCCCATCACAGGCAATTTGGCATATTTACTGCTAATAGTCAAAGATCAATTTATTGCCAAAACTAGGCTATCCCATCATACCATCTCCTCCATAAACTTATCAAGCTTAGTCTTGAAGCCAGATATGTCTTTTGTCCCCACTGCTCCCCTTGGAAGGCTGTTCCAGAGCTTCAGTCCTCTGAGGGTTAGAAACCTTTGTCTAATTTCAAGTCTAAACTTCCCGACGGCCAGTTTATATCCATTTGTTCTTGTGTCCACATTGGTACTGAGCTTAAATTCTTCCTCTCCCTCCCTGGTATTTATCCGTCGGATATATTTATAGAGAGCAATCATATCTCCCCTCAGCCTTCTTTTGGTTAGGCTAAACAAGCCAAGTTCTTTGAGTCTCCTTTCATAAGACAGGTTTTCCATTCCTCGGATCATCCTAGTAGCCCTTCTCTGTACCTGTTCCAGTTTGAATTAATCCTTCTTCAACATGGGAGACCAGAACTGCACACAATATTCCAGATGAGGTCTCACCAGTGCCTTGTATAACTGTACTAACACCTCCTTATCTCTACTGGAAATACCTCGCCTGATGCATCCCAAGACCGCATTAGCTTTTTTCACGACTTTTTTCATATCACATTGGCGGCTCATAGTCATCCTGTGGTCAACCAATACTCCGAGGTCCTTCTCCTCCTCTGTTACTTCCAAGCGATGCATCCCCAGCTTATAACAAAAATTATTAATTGCTAAATGCATCACCTTGCACTTTTCATTATTAAATTTCATCCTATTACTATTACTCCAGTTTATAAGGTCATCCAGATCTTTCTGTATGATGTCCCGGTCCTTCTCTGTATTGGCAATACCTCCCAGCTTTGTATCATCCACAAACTTTATTAGCGCACGCCCACTTTTTGTGCCAAGGTCAGTAATAAAAAGATTAAATAAGATTCATTCCAAAACTGATCCCTGAGGAACTCCACTAGTAACCTCCCTCTAGCCTGACAGTTCACTTTTCAGTGTGACCAGTTGTAATCTCCCCTTTAATCAGTTCCTTATCCACCTTTCAATTTTCATATTGATCCAATTTAGCTAATAATTCCCCCTGTGGAACCGTATCAAATGCCTTACTGAAATCAAGGTAAATTAGATCCACTGCGTTTCCTTTGTCTAAAAAATCTGTTACCTTCTCAAAGGACAGGTTTCAGAGTAACAGCCGTGTTAGTCTGTATTCGCAAAAAGAAAAGGAGTACTTGTGGCACCTTAGAGACTAACCAATTTATTTGAGCATAAGCTCTCATGAGCTACAGCTTATGCTCAGATAAATTGGTTAGTCTCTAAGGTGCCACAAGTACTCCTTTTCTTCTCAAAGGAGGAAATCAGGTTGGTTTGGCACGATCTATCTTTTGTAAAACCATGTTGTATTTTATCCCAATTACCATTGACCTCAATGTCCTAACTACTTTCTCCTTCAAAAATTTTTCCAAGACCTTGCATACTACAGATGTCAACCTAACAGGCCTGTAGTTACCTGGATCTTTTTTTTTTCTCCTTTCTTAAAAATAGGAACTATGTTAGCAATTCTCCAGTCATACGGTACAACCCCTGAGTTTACAGATTCATTAAAAATTCTTGCTAATGGGCTTGCAATTTCATGTGCCAGTTCCCTTAATATTCTTGGATGAAGATTATCTGGGCCCCCTGATTTAGTCCCATTAAGCTGTTCGAGTTTGGCTTCTACCTCGGATGTGGTAATGTCTACCTCCATATCTTTGTTCCCATTTGTCATCCTACCATTATCCCTAAGCTCCTCATTAGCCTCATTAAAGACCGAGGCAAAGTATTTGTTTAGATATTGGGCCATGCCAAGGTTATCCTTAACCTCCACTCCATCCTCAGTGTTTAGTGGTCCCACTTCCTTCTGTTTTCTTTTTATTTATATGGCTATAGAACCTTTTACTATTGGTTTTAATTCCCTTTGCAAGGTTCAACTCTACATGGCTTTTGGCCTTTCTCACTTTATCACTACATGTTCTGGCCTCAATAAGGTAACTTTCCTTGCTGATCCCTCCCATCTTCCTCTCCTTGTAGGCTTTCTGCTTTTTCTTAATCGCCTCTCTGAGATGCTTGCTCATCTATCCTGTTCTACAACTCCTGCCTATGAATTTTTTCCCCTTTCTTGGGATGCAGGCTTCTGATAGTTTCTGCAACTTTGACTTGAAGTAATTCCAGGCCTCTTCCGCCTTTAGATTCACAAGTTCTTCAGTCCAATACACTTCCCTAACTAATTTCCTTAATTTTTGAAAGTTAGCCCTTTTGAAATCAAAAACCTTAGTCAGAGATCTATTTTTGTTCATCCTTCCATTTAGTTTGAACTGAGTTAGCGCATGATCGCATGTTGTTCCCTACAACCATTTCTTCTATGAGGTCCTTGCTACTCACTAAAACCAAATCTAAAATGGCATCCCCTCTTGTTGGTTCAGCAACTACTTTATGAAGGAATCCATCAGCTATCGCATCTAGGAAAATCTGAGCCCGCTTATTATTACTAGCACTTGTTCTATATCATCCCAGCCAGGGCTTTGTCAAGCCTGACCTTAAAAACCTCTCAGGAAGAAGATTCCACCACCTTCCTAGGTAACCCATTCCAGTGCTTCACCGCCCTCCTCGTGAAAAAGTTTTTCCTAATATCCAACCTAAACCTTCCTTACTGCAACTTGAGACCATTACTCCTTGTTCTGTCATCTGCTACCACTGAGAACAGTCTAGATCAGTGCTTCTCAAGCTATCTGATGTGTGGGATCGGCAGTTTTTTTTTCCAACATGCGCACAGACTGGCAGCCGATGGCTCGTGGACTGGCACCGGTCCACCGACCACCACTTTGAGTATCACTGGTCTAGATCCATCCTCTTTGGAACCCCCTTTCAAGTAGTTGAAAGCAGCTATTAAATCCCCCCTCATTCTTCTCTTCTGCAGACTAAATAATCTCAGTTCCCTCAGCCTCTCCTCATAAGTCATGTGCTCCAGCCCCCTAATGATTTTTGTTGCCCTCCACTGGACTCTTCCAGTTTTTCCACATCCTTCTTGTAGTGTGGGGCCCAAAACTGGACACTACTCCGGATGAGGCCTCACCAATGCCGAATAGAGGGGAATGATCACATCCCTCGATCTGCTGGCAGTGCTCCTCCAAAAATGGCACACTGTTGACTCATATCCAGCTTCTAGTCCACTGTAACCCTTAGGTCCTTTTCCACAGAATTGCTGCCTAGCCACTCGGTCCCTAGTCTGTAGCAGTGCCCATCTTGTTTGCCCATTTGCCTTTTTGATATTTTTATGTTCTTACTAATATGTGTGAAGAAAGACACTGTTACAGCTGCCCACAAGCAGAGGAAGGGGGGAGAGATAAGAGAGCAAAAGTGTTGCTGGGCGGAGTGGGAGTTTAATATACAAGTGTACACTTGAAGGACAGTCCTGCCTCAAACTCCTCTCCTGAAATAAGGTCAAGGAACCAGTCACAAAGGGCGAGGGGGGGGAAAGTATAAGAAATACGAAAAGGCAAAGGGTATGTCTACACTACAAAATAAGATCAATTTTATAGAAGTCGATTTTCAGTCAATTGCGTATGTCCACACTAAGCGCATTAAGTTGGTGGAGTGCGTCCTCACTACCATAGCTAGCATAGACTTACAAAGCGGTGCACTGTGGGTAGCTACTCCACAGTTCCTGCAGTCTCCACCACCCATTGGAATTCTGGGTTAAGTTCCCAATGCCTGATGGGGCAAAAACATTGTTGCGGGTGGTTTGGGGTACATGATGTCAGTCGCCCCTCCCTCCGTGAAGGCAACTCAGACAATCGTTTTGCACCTTTTTTCCGTGCAGACGTCATAGCACGGCAAGCATTGAGTCCACTCAGCTCACCCTCGCTGCTGTTGTGTCCTGGGTGCTGCTGTCAGCCAACAGTACAGTAGGTCTGCTAACTGTCGTCATCCATCGCTTCCGCTGCAACTCTGCTCTCCTGCAGCCCAGGGGATCTGTTCTGGTCCTCCTGGGTGCTCCTAACAGTCGTCGTCCACCGCTTCCGCTTCAGCTCTGCTGTCCTGCAGACGCCATACCACGGCAAGCATGGAGCCCGCACAGCTCACCATCACCGCTACTGTTGTGAGCATTGTAAACACCTCGCACATTATCCTGGAGTACATGCAGAACCGGGCTAAGAGACACCAGCACGAGGAGGATTTTGATGAGAACATGGAAACAGACATTCCTGAAAGCATGGGCTGTGACAATTGGGAGATCATGGCGGCAGTGGGGTTGGTTGAGACAGTGGAATGCTAAGTCTGGGCCAGGCAAACAAGCACAGACTGGTGGGTCCGCATAGTGTTGCAGGTATGGGATGATTCACAGTGGCTGCGAAACTTTTGCATGCGTACGGCCACTTTCCTGGAACTCTGTGAGTTACTTTCCCCCATGCTGAAGCACAGAAATACTGAGATGAGAGCTGCTCTGACAGTTGAGAAGCGAGTGGCGATAGCCCTGTGGAAACTTGCAATGCCTGACTGATACCGGTCAGTCGGGAATCAATTTGGAGTGGGCAAGACTACTGTGGGGACTGCTGTGATCCAAGTAGCCAATGCAATCACTTGACGTTCTGCTATCAAGGGTAGTGACTCTGGGAAATGTGCAGGTCATACAGGATGGCTTTGCTGCAATGGGGTTCCCTAACTGTCGTGGGGCGATAGATGGCATGCATATCCCCATCTTGGCACCAGACCACCTTGCCAACCAGTACATAAACGGCAAGGGGTACTTCTCAATGGTGCTGCAAACACTGGTGGATCACAAGGGACGTTTCACCGACATCAATGTGGGATTGCTGGGAAAGGTACATGATGCTTGCATATTTAGGAACTCCGGACTGTTCCTTCTTGCAACTTCTCGGACTTACTTCCCAGACCAGAAAATTACCATTGAGGAAGTTGAAATGCCAATATTTATCCTTGGGGACCCAGCCTACCCCTTGCTCCCATGGCTCATGAAGCTGTACACCGGCAGGCTGGACAGTAAGTAGTAAGGAGTAGTTCAACTATAGGCTGAGCAAGTGCAGAATGGTGGTAGAATGTGCCTTTGGATGTTTAAAAGATTGCTGACTAGGTCAGACCTCAGTGTAACCAACATTCCCATTGTTATTGCGGCTTGCTGTGTGCTCCATAATATCTGTGAGAGTAAGGGGGAGACGGTTATGGCGGGGTGGGAGGTTGAGGCAAATCACCTGGTGGCCGATTTTGAGCAGACACCAGCGTGATTAGAAGAGCACAGCAAGGCATGCTGCGCATCAGAGAGGTTTTGAAAACCAGTTTCATGACTGGCCAGGCTATGGTTTGACTGTTGTGTGTGTTTCTCCTTGATGCAAACCCACCCACCTTGGTTGATCTTTAATTCCCTGTAACCAAACCACCCTTCCTCCCTCCCCCCTTCGAAATAAAGTAATTATTGTTTTGAAACCATGCATTATTTCTTTTATTAATTAAAAAAAAAAAGTGAGATAACTGACAAGGTAGCCCGGGTGGGGTGGGGGAGGAGGGAAGGACAAGGCTACATTGCCTTTTGTAGCCACACTACAAATCAAACTGTTTGAATGGCAACCTTCTGTTGCTTTGGCCATCCTCTGTAGTGGAGTGGCTGGGTGCCCGGAGCCTCCCTCCATGCATTCTTGGGCGTCTGGGTGAGGAGGATATGGAACTTGGGGAGGAGGTCAGCCGGTTATACAATGGATGCTGTGGAAGGTCTGTGCTCGTGTTGGCTTTCTTGCAGCTCCACCAGATGTTTCATCATGTCCGTTTGCTTCCCCCATTAGCCTCAGCATCGCCTCCTGCCTTTGCTCTTCGCGCTCAATTAATGCTTTCCTGGCCTCTAACACTGAATGCCTCCATGCATTAAGCTGCGCTCTATCAGTGCGGGAGGTCTGCATGAGCTCAGCAAACATGTCATCGCGAGTGCATGTTTTTCACCTTCTAATCTGTGATAACCTCAGGAAGGAGATGATAGGGGGAGCATAGAAACATAGAAAGGAGTTTGCATGGGAGTTAGCCTGGGGAGAGCCCACTGAGGCTTACATCTTGCCGGCTTCTCTGAGTAGTTACTACAACTCCTGAGGAAGCTCGTAGAAGGAAGGCGATATGGATGGGGGGTGTTCAGCTGTTGTGACCTGCACTGGATGTGCTATGATTGTCTTTCTTCCACAGGACAGAAGCGACTTTGTCTGTAAAAAAAAGTGCAAACTGTTCTCCATATTGGAAGAGAAGGTTCAAGGTCTAGAGCAACAGGTATCGACCCTGTGTTGCATAAGAGAAACTGAAGATTTCCTGGACAGACGTCAGGATATGCTTCTACGGGCACAAGGTTCTGAAGATTCAGAGCAGGCTACACAGCGGGGACAGGAGGCCGGTGAAGAAATTTGGCATCATGTGACCTCCAGAAGAAGAAAGGGGAACGTCCATGTACGTTACAATGCAGATACAGATACAGGTAAGTAACAGTTTTCATGTTCTCTCCACAGGTACCAATGCGGAGAGTGGACCACATGATATGTCTGAGGGAAGGGAGCAGAAGGAGACTCCGCCAGTTGGAAGGCATGAGATGCACTGTCCTAGGGTTGGGGGTTCCATGACCACCGCTCCCAAGAGAAGGAGGCGGGTGGTGGTGATCGGGGACTCTCTGCTCAGGGGGACTGAGTCATCTATCTGCTGCCCCGACTGGGAAAACCAAGAAGTCTGCTGCTTGCCAGGAGCTAGGATTTGCGATGTGATGGAGAGACTGCTGAGACTCATCAAGCCCTCGGATCGCTACCGCTTCCTGCTTCTCCACGTGGGCACCAATGATACTGCCAAGAATGACCTTGAGCGGATCACTGCAGACTACGTGTTTCTGGAAAGAAGGATAAAGGAGTTTGAGGCGCAAGTGGTGTTCTCGTCCTTTCTCCCCATGGAAGAAAAAGGCCGGGGTAGAGACCATCGAATCGTGGAAGTCAACGAATGGCTACGCAGGTGGTGTCGGAGAGAAGGCTTTGGATACTTTGACCATGGGATGGTGTTCCAAGAAGGAGGAATGCTAGGCAGAGACGGATTCCACCTAACAAAGAGAAGGAAGAACATCTTCGCAAGCAGGCTGGCTAACCTAATGAGGAGGGCTTTAAACTAGGTTCACCGGGGGAAGACGACCAAAGCCCTGAGGTAAGTGGGGAAGTGGGATACCGGGAGGGAGCAGGAGCGTGTGAGATGGGAGGGCTCCTGCCTCATACTGAGAAAGAGGAGCGATCAGCGTTTTATCTCAAGTGCCTATACACAAATGCACAAAGCCTGGGAAACGAGCAGGGAGAACTGGAAGTCCTGGCAAAGTCAAGGAATTATGATGTGATTGGAATAACCAAGACTTGGTGGGATAACTCACATGACTGGAGTACTGTCATGGATGGATATAAGCTGTTCAGGAAGGACAGGCAGGGCAGAAAAGGTGGGGGAGTTGCACTGTGTGTAAGAGAGCAGTATGACTGCTCAGAGCTCCGGTATGAAACTGCAGAAAAACCTGAGAGTCTCTGGATTAAGTTTAGAAATGTGAGCACCAAGGGTGATGTTATGGTGGGAGTCTGCTATAGACCATCGGACCAGGGGGATGAGGTGGACGAGGCTTTCTTCCGGCAACTCGCAGAAGCTACTAGATTGCACGTCCTGGTTCTCATGGGAGACTTCAATCACCCTGATATCTGCTGGGAGAGCAATACAGCGGTGCACAGACAATCCAGGAAGCTTTTGGAAAGTGTAGGGAACAATTTCCTGGTGCAAGTGCTGGAGGAACCAACTCGGGGCAGAGTTCTTCTTGACCTGTTGCTCACAAACCGGGAAGAATCAGTAGGGGAAGCAAAAGTGGATGGGAACCTGGGAGGCAGTGACCATGAGATGGTCGAGTTCAGGATCCTGACACAAGGAAGAAAGGAAAGCAGCAGAATACGGACCCTGGACTTCAGAAAAGCAGACTTTGACTTCCTCAGGGAACTGATGGGCAAGATCCCCTGGGAGAATAACATGAGGGAAAGGAGTCCAGGAGAGCTGGCTGTATTTTAAAGAATCATTATTGAGGTTACAGGGACAAACCATCCCAATGTGTAGAAAGAATAGTAAATATGGCAGGCGACCAGCTTGGCTTAACAGTGAAATCCTTGCTGATCTTAAACACAAAAAAGAAGCTTACAAGAACTGGAAGATTGGACAAATGACCAGGGATGAGTATAAAAATATTGCTTGGGCATGCAGGAGTGAAATCAGGAAGGCCAAATCACATCTGGAGTTGCAGCTAGCAAGAGATGTCAAGAGTAACAAGAAGGGTTTCTTCACGTATGTTAGCAACAAGAAGAAAGTCAAGGAAAGTGTGGGCCCCTTACTGAATGAGGGAGGCAACCTAGTGACAGAGGAGGTGGAAAAAGCTTAATGTACTCAATACTTTCTTTGCCTCTGTCTTCACGAACAAGGTCAGCTCCCAGACTACTGCACTGGGCAGCACAGCATGGGGAGGAGGTGACCAGCCTTCTGTGGAGAAAGAAGTGGTTCGGGACTATTCAGAAAATCTGGACGTGCACAAGTCCATGGGGCCGGATGCGCTGCATCCGAGAGTGCTAAAGGAGTTGGCGGTTGTGATTGCAGAGCCATTGGCCATTATCTTTGAAAACTCGTGACTATCCGGGGAAGTCCTGGACGACTGGAAAAAGGCTAATGTAGTGCCCATCTTTAAAAAATGGAAGGAGGAGGATCCTGGGAAATACAGGCCAGTCAGCCTCATCTCAGTCCCCGGAAAAATCACGGAGCAGGTCCTCAAGGAATCAATTCTGAAGCACTTAGAGGAGAGGAAAGTAATCAGGAACAGTCAGCATGGATTCACGAAGGGCAAGTCATGCCTGACTAATCTAATTGCCTTCTATGACGAGATAACTTGTTCTGTGGATGAAGGGAAAGCAGTGGACGTGTTGTTCCTTGACTTTAGCAAAGCTTTTGACACGGTCTCCCACAGTATTCTTGTCAGCAAGTTAAAGAAGCATGGGCTGGATGAATGCACTATAAGGTGCGTAGAAAGTTAACTAGATTGTCGGGCTCAACGGGTAGTGATAAATGGCTCCATGTCTAGTTGGCGGCCAGTATCAAGCGGAGTGTCCCAAGGGTCGGTCCTGGGGCTAGTTTTGTTCATCCTCCAGATCATTTATGAAGATATTGGTGTGGATTGCACCCTCAGCAAGTTTGCAGATGACACTAAATTGGGAGGAGTGGTAGATACGCTGGAGGGTAGGGATAGGATACAGAGGGACCTAGACAAATTGGAGGATTGGGCCAAAAGAAATCTGATGAGGTTCAACAAGGACAAGTGCACAGTCCTGCACTTAGGACAGAAGAATCCAATGCACTGCTACTGACTAGGGACCAAATGGCTAGGCGGCACTTCTGCAGAAAAGGACCTAGGGGTTTCAGTGGACAAGAAGCTGGATATGAGTCAACAGTGTGCCCTTGTTGCCAAGAAGGCCAATGGCATTTTGGGATGTATAAGTAGGGGCATTGCCAGCAGATCGAGGGATGTGATCATTCCCCTCTATTCGACATTGGTGAGGCCTTATCTGGAGTACTGTGTCCAGTTTCGGGCCGCACACTACAAGAAAGATGTGGAAAAATTGGAGAGAGTCCAGCGGAGGGCAACAAAAATGATTAGGGGTCTGGAACACATGACTTATGAGGAGAGGCTGAGGGAACTGGGATTGTTTAGTCTACAGAAGAGAAGAATGAGGGGGGATTTGATAGCTGCTTTCAGCTACCTGAAAGGTGGTTCCAAAGAGGATGGATCTAGACTATTCTCAGTGGTAGCGGATGACAGGACAAGGAGTAATGGTCTCAAGTTGCAGTGGGGGAGATTTAGGTTGGATATTAGGAAAGACTTTTTCACTAGGAGGGTGGTGAAACACTGGACTGCGTTACCTAGGGAGGTGGTGGAATCTCCTTCCTTAGAAGTTTTTAAGGTCAGGCTTGACAAAGCCCTGGCTCGGATGATTTAATTGCGGATCGGTCCTGCTTTGAGCAGGGAGTTGGACTAGATGACCTCCTGAGTCCCTTCCAACCCTGATATTCTATGATTTGCAGCTGGGGCGGAGATAAAAAGGGAGAGTAAAATTTAAGATGATGTATGTCTGAGAACAAAAGGGAGACTCTCTCTTTCACAGTGAAGCAATTCACAGAAGACAGCACACTGCTTTAGGTACCAGGTTGCATTTTGCCTTTTATGTTGAGCACCTGCCAGTATGGTGACACATCATAAACGGCTGGGCAACTGAATTCGGTTTCCAGGCAGCCATGGTAAGTCTTTTGGTATGTGGGGCTGGTTTCTTACGCCTTCATAACATGTGGGAATGGTTTCAAACTGCAGTGCCATCCTTTTCCCATAGCAAGCAATCATCCCATACCCGCAACATTATGCGGTCCCCCTAGTCTGTGCTTGTTTGCTGGGCCCAGAATCAGCGTTCCACTCTATCAACCAGCCCCACTGCTGCCATGATGTCCCAATTGCCACAGCCCATGCTTTCAGGAACGTCTGTGTCCATGTCCTCATCACAATACTCCAGGATAATGTGCAAGGTGTTTACAATGCTCACAACTGCAGCAGTGAGTGGAGCGGGCTCCATGCTTGCTGTGGTATGGCGTCTGCACGGGTAACCCAGGAAGAAAGGCGTGAAACGGTTGTCTGCCATTGCTTTCAAGAAGGGAGAGAAGGGGCGACTGACATGTACCCCAAACCACCCTCAAAAATGTTTTTGCCCCATCAAGCATTGGGAACTTCAACCAGAATTCCAATGGGCAGCAGGAACTGTGGGATAGCTACCCACGGTGCACCGCTCCATAAGTCAATGCTAGCCACAGTATTGAGGACACACTCTGCTGACGTAATGTGCTTTGTGGGGACATACACAACTGACTGTATAAAATCGATTTCCAAAAATTGACTTCTATAAAACCAACCTAATTTCGTAGTATAGACATACCCTGAGAAAAACAACCTAATCTGGAATTAAAGTGAACAGAATTTTATTGGAAGTCAAAACTGGGCCTGAGCTTGTCTCTATAATTTCACCCAAATAGTAATGGCCCCTGCTATTTCATTAGGGAAACGGTCTCAGGAAAAGCCTGCTTCTTTTG